TGAGCCTCAGCTTCCTTCTCTGTAATTAGGAACCTACCCCCAGAGTTGATAGGTAAATGAATTAATCAAACAGCCTCTACATAGGGAACACGTAGTAAATTGCCACTGCTGTTCTCCTCAGCAGATCTTCCAGTAGCAACTACCAGCATTTATTGAGTGCCCAGTGGTTTGTACACACAAGCTTATTGAAAATGCAAGGCAATCTGTAGGGGTAGTTCTGTTACGATTCTCATTTTACAGAAAAGATGTGTTTCAAGAGATGCCATGTGTCCTGCTTTCCCAGGGTCTCAGGGCTGGGATTAGAGTCCAGGACGCTAGGGCTGCTCTCTTCTTCCCTGTCTCAGGTCTGGCCCACCTCCTTCTCAGCCCTCAAACAACACCCACCAGGGAAGTCCCCGAGGGCCAGCTGCCTAGAAAGGCCCTTCCTCTATCCCAACCCTGAGCTGGCTATTTCACAGAGCTTTGAGTTTTTTGCTTTCACTTTCCAGCCGAGTTACAGCCAGCCACCCTACAACCAGGGAGGTTACAGCCAGGGCTACACAGCTCCACCTCCTCCACCTCCGCCACCACCTGCCTACAACTACGGGAGCTACGGCGGCTACAACCCAGCCCCCTACACCCCGCCACCGCCTCCTACCGCACAGACCTACCCTCAGCCCAGCTATAACCAGTATCAGCAGGTAAGTGCCAGACTGGGGGCCAGTAGGGTGGAGGGACTTCCAGGGGCCCCTCCTAAGTGTGTATTCCCAGACTCGAGTCCTTGCTTATCCCTAAAAAGACGAGCAGCCTGCTGGCCTCAGGCTGGCATTCATCTTGCCATCAGCCATTTTATTTGGTAAATACTTCTGTACTGGTTGCTGAGTAACTGGTATCCTGGCTCCTTTCCACAATGCAGCAAGCAAAGGGTAAGGGGTGGCATAGCAGGGGCCTCCAAATCCTGCTTCAGGTTGGTCCTCAGGCTGTCATAACTGTTATGAAATATTTTGAGTGTAATATCTAGCTATACCTGGAAGGGCACTAGGTTGACAAGCCAGGAGACCTGGGCTCTAGTCCCTAACTGCCTGGCTTTGTGGCATAAGGTCAGTCACTTGTCCCCCTCACATGCCTTGAATTCTGTCAGGGGACCCATCTCTGCCCTAGGTGAGGGTGGGGCCAGGGAAGGAGCCAACTGTAGGGTGGATGCAGGACAACTTGGTGCTCTTGGTTTCTCTCTCCCCAGTATGCCCAGCAGTGGAACCAGTACTATCAGAACCAGGGCCAGTGGCCACCATACTACGGGAACTACGACTACGGGAGCTATTCCGGGAACACACAGGGTGGCACAAGCACACAGTAGCCAGTGTGTCCCAGAGGCTTCTGGAGGCCCCTGCCGGCTTCCTCCACCAGCGCCTGCCTCGGCCCCCTCCTCTACTCCCACCAGGTCCTGTGGTGCTGGGGATGGGGTCATCCCAGGGCTGCCTCCCTCCAGCCCACTGCCTCCCTCTGAGGGGCTTCTCCCCGCCGCCCTACCACAGGGCCAGGCATTTTTCTCTGGATTCAAACAGGCAACAATGACCTTTTATTTTCTGTTTGTCCCTCCCCCACCCCTCCAACCTCCCAGCTCCTGTTCTTCCTACCTTCTTCCTTTTTGACTAAATCCTCTCTTCCCTTGGCGACAGTGACTGACTGAGGGGAGACCCTATTCTTATTCACTCATCCCAACCTTGCTCCGGCCCCTCAGCTTCCCTCATGCAGTTGGTTGTAAATTCTTCCAGGAGCTGTTTTACTGTCTACTTTTCAGGATTAAAAAAAAAATCAAAAACTTAAAAAAAAAAAAGTTTAAAAAGCAAAATGCAGAGGGAGGAAGCAGTGACATATTTTTTTGGTAATTATGCTTTTTTTTTAATTTTTAGAATTTGTCTGTTTTTACTGTGGGTCGGCTGTTGATATTTCATCAAGATAACCATTTCTTTGCTGAGTTCAGGTGACCGAGGAAGAGCCACACCCTCGAAACAAAACAAAACACACACAAAACCACAAAATCATCTTTAACCTAACTTTTTATACGATGTCTCAGTTCCCCGTAACTTTGCACACAAGCTTCTGTGTTCAGTTGAATTGTAACTGCTTTTTGTATTTGGAGAGAGTGTGACTATTGAACTTGAAACCTTTTATTCCGGGCGTCTTGGTAGTTTCTGGTGGGATTAAGTGGGTGAGAGGGAAGAAGGGGCGGTGGGGGGGCTCCTTCCCTTCAGAACGTGAAGTTTCTTCCGCTGCCTCCTCTTCAGTGGTCTCCCGGGTGCCAGACCTAAAAGTTTTTCCACAGCGATCCTCTGATTATTTTTACTTCCCCTTGACCCATATGTTTTAACAGGATTTTAACAAACTGCACTTATTAAGAAATGTGTTTGCCCTGTTTTGTTTTGTTTTCTTTTCTTTTCTTTCAATAAATGACATGGCACCTCCTAGCAGGAAGGAAGCAGGGTCGAAACCCTGAAGTGTTAACTGCAGTTGGCCTTTAATTGGGGTGGGGGGTCTTTTCAAGGGGAAATTATTTACTCATTCATTAAACAAACACAGGGATTTGTGTGCCCGGCCCCAGTTTAGGTGCTGAAAATGCACCCTTGAACCAAGGGCCCCTGGTTTAAAGTCCACTATTTCATTTTTAAAGTGGTTCTGTGGTGCTCTACTTCTCACAGTGCAGGATCCCTCCGGGAATTTTTGAGTGGAATGCGTGGAGCAGGTCCCTAGGCGGAGGGACAGGTGGGAATGGTGGGGTGGAGACCAGGGCCGGTTGTTGGGAATCGTTGCTGGGTACTGACTGACCCCTCAGGTGCTCTACTTAGGATGGTTCCTGTCTGTTCTCTGTTCCCAGCACCAGGAGCCTCGTTTTTCAGCCAGTATGTGCTGGGGACCTGCTCTGATCCTCAGCCGTTCTGGACAGTGCTGGGGACACAGCGTGGCCAAGGCAGTTCTGGAGCCTGTTCACACAGAGCTCCTGCTCCAAGGATAACAGAAACCTGTCACCGAATAGTGTCAGCCCCAGGTGGTCAACTGTGAGAGCCTGGGGTGGTGTGAGGGGAGGGCTTCCTGGACAAGGGAGAAACTGAAGAATGACAGGGTAAAGGACTTGAGTTTCAGATTGCATCCCCACCGCCCATTGTCTTCCCTTTGTAACTTCATTTCTGCATTCCTTTTGTGCATGCTGTGTTCCTGGCACCTTGTGAGGGACAGTGCTCGGCCACAGGAGAGGCCAGTTCAGCCCCAATCCCTTCCCTCACAGGAGCTCAGAGGCAGCCAGTTAGTCTTAAGGTATGGGTTGGAGCATCGAACACAAGAGGCCAAGGTTGGTGGCACTAAGGGACCCTAGAGTGCTCCCCTGTCTCTGCTCCTAGAGATGGGCAGGCAGGGCCTCATGGCCCCTAGCTTGGGAAGTCCCATTCCCTGCAGGTCTATGTGCTGGGCAACAGCACCCTCTGCTGGCTTCTCGTGGTAATAACGCCTAGGTGTAGCCCATCCCCGCCCATCTGGTGTGGCAAATAGGGACCTCGCTGGCTTTCTTCCACAACTTCTCGGGAAAGCAAGTTCTCCTTCTGCTCTCAGCCACGGTCTCCGGATTATTACGCCAGCTTCCTCATAGATCTCTTATCTCCAGTTCCTTACCTTGATCCCCTTGCACACTCCTTGCATGGTAAGGGGGTTAAGCTACTTAAGGTGGCTTATGAGGCCCTGCATGGCCTAGCCTAGCACCTGGTAACCTCACTGGCTCCACCTCTTTCTGCTCCCCCTTTGAACATCAGATGAATGTTCTTTTGTTCTGGGGGTGGGGTCACAAATCCTTTTTGGAACCTGTACATGCTGTGAACCTCTGCCTTGGAGAACATAGGTGTACACGAAATTTTGCGTAGATTCATGATTTTTTTTTTTTTTTTTTTTTGAGACAGAGTCTAACTGTTGCCCTTGCTAGAGTGAGTGCCGTGGCGTTAGCCTAGCTCACAGCAACCTCAAACTCCTGGGCTCAAGCGATCCTCCTGCCTCAGCCTCCCGAGTAGCTGGGACTACAGGCATGCGCCACCATGCCCGGCTAATTTTTTCTGTATATTTTTAGTTGTCCAGATCAATTCTTTCTATTTTTAGTAGAGATGGGGTCTCACTCTTGCTCAGGCTGGTCTCGAACTCCTGAGCTCAAACAATCCGCCTGCCTCGGCCTCCCAGAGTGCTAGGATTACAGGCGTGAGCCACCGCGCCCAGGAAGATTCATGATATTAAATCTTCCACAACTCAATCATGGCCTTCAAGTCAGAACGCCTTTCTTATGCCCTGACTGAAGTGCTTGCAGCAACTGGAACCATCCAAGCCTGCCATCCTCCTGCCTGAGACTCTTCCCTCCCTCCCTTCCTCTTCCCCTAGTTCCTGCTTATCCTTCAGGACTCAGTTTGGCCAGTTCCTCTCCTCCCAGAAAGAAACCTTACTGCCTGGGGTGAGCAGCTCGCTCAGCCCACTGGGTCCATCAGAGCCCTTGCCACGCAGGGTGGTCACTGATGACATGCCTGTCCACTCTTGGTAACAAACACCTAAATGTGAGCCCCTCCCTATCTCGTAGGGCAAATCAAGACCACAGCTGTCTTCCTTCATATCTGCAGATTTCCTCCAGGTCCTGACAACACAAAATGGGAAGTTTTATCTCTAGTTTCACCAGCCAGGAACTGAATATGATGACAGAAGTAAGAGTCAAGGCTTAGTAAATATCCCTGAGGTGGTGAAATGAAAGGGGTAGGCTGGGGTCTAAACCAGAGCACAAGCCCTCAGAGTGTGACAGAAGCCAGGCCCTGTAAGGGTGGTCGTTCAACCATCCCAAAATTAAGCACGCCGGGAGCTGGAGTCACAACAGTGGTTCGAGTCCCTTCTGATTTTCCAACTTCAGACAGGAGGCTGAACAGAGATCTCTCTCACCCCGGCGCCCTTTACCTTCCTGGCTGCGGAGGGCGGGACCCGGAGAGGCACGCATGCGCATAGGAAGGTCGGCCTTCGGACCGGAACTTTGGTGCTTGGGCGTAGAGGAGCACCCGGCTCCGGGAACCTTCTCAGCCGGAAGTGGGTCCTGAGTGCGTGGGGCGCAGGTTGGCGTGCGGATCCCTCCACGGCGGTTGACAAGTCGGAGAAAATCAGGATGGACGCCGTAGCGACCGCAGCGGCGGCGAAAGAGCCCGATGAGGGTGAGGGCCTGCTACGCGGAGGCGGCGGGAGGGTGCGGCCGCGGTGCCACTAGGAAATGATTCCCCGGGAACGCGAAGGAGGACTCCTTATAGGGGGACACGTGAGGTCAACCTTACCTGTTCCCTCTACCACTTTGTGTAGATTATCTCCTTTCTTGTCTCAGGCTGACCTTTCCCTCCATCCCCTCCTCCGAAATTAGCCTCTTCCCAGTTCCGGGCCGACCCATTTCCTTACCAAGCCGTCAGGTTAACGAAAACCTCGCCCTTCCCCGGAGTTAATTCTCCCAGTGTCTCAGACCAGCCCTTCTCAAGTTTCCTCCTTCTTTGTGCCTGAGCCTTCCCTTGCGCCAGGCTAACCTTCTTCCTGTCCCGTACAAACCCGGACTAACGGCTCCCTCATTTCATTGTAACTTCCCTTCCTCCAGAGTCTGCAATCTAGTCTGCCCCTCAGTCGTCACTCCATTTATGTGCTCCCCCATCTCTCTCCGTTGCATTTTCAATCTCTTTTATTTCTCCTGATGCCTTCCCATCAGTATCGAAAATTCTTTTGTTTTGCTCATTTTAAAATTCCATCCCACTGCTTCAAATGGTGTGGTTCAAATTCGCTGGAACACTATTGGCCAAGAATTAATCATTGTTGAAGCCAGATGATGGGTATATGTAGGTAGGGGGAAGGGTGTCATACTTTCTACTTTTGTGTATGTTTGACATTTTCCATAATAAGAAAAGTTTTTTAACCTAAAAAGAAAATCTTTCCCTTGGCCCCATGCTGCCTTCCAGCCACCATCTGTTTCCTCCAGAGATTCGTGTATGCAGGTCTCCATTTTCTCACACCCCATCCACTGAAGTCTGGCTTTTACCCTCAGAAACTGCTCTGATTAGGGCTCCCAATAACTTCCCCCCATGCAGAAAAAGAAATACCCATTCAGGTTTCTTTTTACTAGCCTCAACTGGAATTCAGTTCTAACCATTGACTCCTTCGTCCTTCTTAAAAGTTTTCCCTTGGTTTCTGTAATGCCATGCTTTGTGATTTCCTTCCTATCTCTCAGGCTGTTCCTTCTCAGCCCCTAGATTAGTTTCCTAGAGCAACTGTAACAAAGTACCACAAATTAGGTCGCTTAAAACAACAAAAATGTATTTTTTCTCACTGTTCTGGAGGCCAGAAGTCTGAAATCAGTATTACTGGGCTGAAATCCAGGTGTCAGCAGGGTCATGCTCCCCCACAGGCTCTAGGGGAGAACCTGTTCCTTGTCTCTTCCAGCCAGCGGTGGCTTCTGGAACTCCTTGGCTTGTGGCCACATCACTCCAATCTCTGCTTCCATCTTCACATTGCCTTCTCTGCGTGTGTCGTATAGGACACTTGCGATTGCATGTACGGCCCACCTGGGTAATCCAGGATACCCTCCATGCCGAGACCCTTGATTTAATCATATCTGTGAAGATCCTGTCCCTTCCCCCCCACCCCCAATCTAAGGTAGCAGTCACAGATTCCAGGCTATCTTTTAAGACGTGGCTATCTTTTTGGTGGCCAGTTTTTAGCTTCACAGACATGTTCTCTCCCCATCTATTCGGTGCTTCTTCTTGGCCCCTCTTCTCTTCTCATCCCTCCCCCACTTGTCATTTCCCACAGCTTTAGTTCTTATCTTGACTCTGATGACACCCACAACTCTGTCTCCAGCCCAGCACTTCTCTCCTGAGGGGTCCAAGGCCCGTGTGTTGACAGTCGGACCTCATCCTGGATGCCTCTCTCTCCTCCCAGCCTTCAGCCCCATGGCTTGTCCACTCGGCCTCCTGAGCATCTTTCTAATCACCCCCTGCCCGCTCTTCTGTGCCCTCCTCCCCTGCCCTTGTCCAGATCAGTCTTCTCCTGGCTCAATGATGGAAATCCTCTCTAAACCTGTAACTGTCACCGTTACTCCTCCCCGTCCCAGCTAAGCTACCTAAAGGAGTTGTCTCGACTTTCTGTCTTCACTTATTTCCTGCTTGCTCCAGTTCCCACCACTCTTGGGAAACAGCTCTTACCAAGGTTTGCCGGGAGCTCAGCTTTCCTGTTATCTTTTGGCATATTATCTTTGCTCTTAGCTGCCTCCCACATCTACCTGGGTGCTCCCTGAGGGCAGGAGCTGGACTGGATTCCCTCTGTGGGTCCTCAGCATTGCCTGGCTTAGAGTTGCCGAAGAATAGTTGGCTGAATATGTGAATCCATGAGAGAGTGAGTGAATGAGTGAACAAATTAGTGAATGTATTCATGACTTTGTGAACAAATGAAAAGCCAAAGAATTAAGTGCATCAATAAGTTAGGAGGCCTCAGGGCCTTTGCATTAGTTGTTCCCTCTACTTGGAACTCTCTTCCCCAAGAAATTTCATGGCTCAGTCCCTCAAGATGTCAAGTCTTTACTCAAATGTCACTTTTTAGACAAAGCCTTCTCTGACCCTTCCATTTAAAATTGCAGTCGCCTCCACCCCCATTCCCTCCTCCTTCCCTCTTTATTTTTCTGCATAGCTCTGGGACACCTAAGACATTATATATTTTCAGTAATTATGTCGATAATCGTCTGTGTCCTCTACTAAAATGTCAACTTTTTGCCTAATGTGGTAGGTCTAGGACCTAGAACAATGCCCAGAATGTAGTAGGTGCTCAGTAAATGTGAACTGACTGGGTGATTGAGCACCCAGTCCCTTTCTACCCAATCCCTTCCCTTCCCCATTCCCTCACTCCCATCCCTGAACTAAGAAAGCACCCCGCCCCTTACAGGCTACACAGAGCCCAGACCTGGGCTCTGGGGCGAGCTGAGCTGGACACCAGTCCCTTCCAGACCCCAGGACAAGGTGGAATCAGCTGAGGGAGTGCCAGAGGCCCTGGACAACAATGCCCCCAGGGCTGAAGACGCAGCGGTGAGTGCCATGCTGCACGCTGTGGCTGCCAGCCGCCTGCCTGTGTGCAGCCAGCAACAGGGCGAGCCTGATCTGACAGAGCAGGAGAAGGTGGCCATCCTGGGCCAGCTGTACCACGAGAAGCCACTGGTGTTCCTGGAGCGCTTCCGCACGGGCCTCCGAGAGGAGCACCTGGCCTGCTTCGGCCATCTGCGTGGTGACCACCGTGCAGACTTCTACTGTGCTGAGGTGGCCCGGCGGGACACAGCCCGGCCCCGAACCCTGCGCACCCGCCTGCGTAACCGGCGCTACGCTGCCCTGCGAGAGCTGATCCAAGGTGTGGGGGGCAGATGGGCGAGGGCAAGCACAGATGGGGACGAGGGGAGACTGAGGCAGAGGGAGTGAGAAACAAGGATGCAAGAGCAGAGACAGGGATCCTGGGAGATGCGTTTTGAGGCAAGGAGCAGGGGCACGGGGAGACTGAGAGAAATGTGAAGTAAGGGAGAGATGGATGGAGACGGGCTCAGGGGAAGAGAATGGGACTGACGGTGAGAAGGGATCAGAATTTAGCAGATGACAGGAGAAGTGGCATTGCAGATCAGTGGGGCCAGAGCATAGAACGCAGTTCTGTGACGGGTTATCCCTGAGGAACGTGAGATCCCTACCTCACACCATACGCAAAGGCATCGGAAGAAACCAAGGGAAGGAAGTTTATGACCTTGGGGACACAGGAGCCTTGAACAAAACACACGTGTGAAAACCATGAAAGAAAACATTGATACCTTTCTGACCACAACATAATTAAAAGCATCTTTGTGACCAAAGATGGCGGAACCAAAGTTAAAAGATGAGAACGAATGAAACGGAGTGAGTTGAGGTCTAATTAGGGAGAAGGCACAAGCTGTAGAGAGGTTGATACAGAAAGAGTGAGATACAGGCACAGATGGAGGATGAGGATGAAGAAAGGAGCAGGAAGAAGAATGAATGAATGAAGTATGGTTAGGTGACAGAAACTGAGAAAGCAAGAAAGATGGAGAGCTGGGGATAGAGTAAGAAAGGAAGAGAAAGAAAGTCCCAGAGAGGGAGAAGGTGACAGTCTGAACCAGGGAGAAGGAGGGATAGAGACCGAATCTGGTAGAGGAACCGAGAAACAGCAGGGTATAAGAGAGCTAGCAGCACTGCGGAGCCGAGCAGGACAGGGACTGCAGAGGCCAGGAGTCTGGGTAGCTGCTTGGCTCTGGGCTCTGAAGGCAGGGCTGGGGCCAGGGCAGGTCTGACTGTTATCTGAGGGACAGGGCCACTCCTGCAGGAACAACCAGCCAAGGTCAATGCAAAGAACCTAGGTTTCAGGGTGATGGGAGAGCCAGGCCCACCAGGGGGTGGCTGCAGAGGGGAGCACTCTGGGGAGAGGTCAGACCTGGGGCATTCCACCAGCAAGAGGACCCGGCTCTCGCCAGGGACACCAGCATGGGCAGATGCTCTGCCTGACCTGGACCCCATGCACACAGACCACACCCACATGGACACGTACACAAACATGGCCAACGGTGAAGGTGTGCCCAGGCGTTGCCACTGCCAGCCAGACCAGCAGACAGGCACACACAGCCTGCCTGCGTTGTCCTGCGTGCTGACTGCAGACACATGGGTACCTGTGGGCAGTGTGCTGAGACTTGTGGGGAGATGTGTGTGTACCCATGACTGTGCACATACCAAGGGCAGGGGCTTGTGAACCTGCCCAGATGCAGTTGTACGTGGGCTCCAGACCACCAGTGCCTCAGAGGCAGGATGTACCTGGGCCTGCCTGTGCACACACATGCTTGGACACATGAATACACAGGTAGATACAGGTCTGGTCATGCATACACGCTCAGTCACACACGTGAATACTCAAACACACACCTCAGGCATCTGTGCGTATTTTCCTGCGTATCTGAATGTGTGCACACACACACTTGGACCTCTGTGTACATGTCTTCCCACAAGCATGATGATGCACATACACATGAACACAGCATCTGCTCAGACACGCTCACCCCATGCCCACCCCGCCTCTCCTCTGTGCAGGGGGCGAGTACTTCAGTGATGAGCAGATGCGGTTCCGGGCCCCACTGCTATACGAGCAGTACATTGGGCAGTACCTAACCCAGGAGGAGCTCAGCGCCAGGGCCCCGACCCAACCATCCCCCAAGCCCGGCTGCCCTGGCACGCCCGCCTGCCCGCTCTCTGACCTGCTGCTCCAGTCCTACCAGGAGAGAGAGCTGCAGCAGCGGCTGCTCCAGCAGCAGGAGGAAGAGGAGGCCTGCTTGGAGGAGGAGGAAGAAGAGGAAGACAGTGATGAGGAAGGTGAGGGCCAGTAAGAGGGAGACCCCACTGTCCGGACACCCCAGCCCCAGGCCTGTCTGTCTCTCATGGCACCAGGCAGGGCCCCCAACCTGCAAAAGCAAACATCCCGTCCCTCTCCTGCCTGGCCCATCCTCCCCGCTGCAAGCCCTTGCAACCTCGCCAGCATTCCTGTCCCCCACTCCTTAAAGGTGCCAGGTGATTCCTCACCTCCAGACCTTTGCTCGTGCCATTCCCTTTGCCGGGAATGCCTGGCTTCCCACCCTTCAGGTCTCAGGTCCTGGCCCTGGTGTACGGTCTCCAGAGCACGGTACTATCAATGTGTTGGATGTGTGCTGTTGGAGGGCAGGGATCAGGGCTGTCCCGGTCTTTGCTGTGTTCCCAGTGCCACCCACACAGGGCCAGGCACAGAAGCAGCAGCTCCCTGTGAACTCTGTGTGTTTGGTGCCTGCCAAGTGCACCCTTATTCACACCCCCGTGGTATCTGTCACTACAGACCAGAGGTCAGGCAAAGATTCAGAGGCCTGGGTCCCCGACTCGGAGGAGAGGCTTATCCTGCGGGAGGAGTTCACCAGCCGGATGCACCAGCACTTCCTGGATGGCAAGGATGGGGACTTCGACTACAGGTGCTCCTGTGCCCCCTCTCCCCACGCCCGAGCCCAGCACCCCACAGCCCTCATGCCAGATGCCAGATCCTGTGCACATCCACGGAGGGCCCCCCTTTGTGGTGGTAGAAGGCCCTAGAACAGCTCCAGGTCATGGGCCGTGGGGTCAGACAGCTGAAGGAAGGAGCTGGGTGACCTTGGACTAGCCTTGTCTGCATCAGACCCTCAGTCGCCTCATCTGTAAGGAGGGGAGTGAGCAGGGCTGACACGTAGCTCAATACTGAAGAAACACCGAATCATTACGTTCTGGCAGGTGGCAGAGGCCTAGTAGGCTGCCACGACCCCAAGCGTCCCCAGGCAGCCCGACCTCTTCATGTTGCAGGAAGAATCCCCTGGCAGGGTTAATGCCCAGCACGGGGGGGGCGTGTCTTGGGTACCCCGTGGTGCCAGTTGTTCATTTCCCCAGTATAACCTAAGGGGTGAGACGTGTGGACCACCTGCTTTGGAAAGGGAGTTGGCCGTCAGGGAAAAGGACCCAGAAGAGTAACGTATCAGAGTCACAGATAAACGGTTTTGTCATCTGAGATAGTCTTGCCTTGTGGTCCCCAACATCGGGCCTGGCAGCAGAGGACCCTCCTTCGCTTCAGATCCAGCCCCGATAACACGTGGAACTGTGTGACCGCAAATAGGCGGCCCCATGCTGGGTCATCAGTAACATGGGGATCATGGTGGCACTGCCACAGAGCCAAGCCCCCAGTCAGCACCTAGTGACTGGAGCAGTGGGGGCCCATTCTGGGATCCCCTGGCTCTTGCATCAAATCTGGACGATCTGCCTCCAGCCAGGACAGGCCGCTCTGAGCCTCAGTCCCCACGTACACTGGTGCGACGAGTGCCCGGGCCATGGGGAGCCCTCGGTGAGTGGGCACCACTGCCACTTCTAACCCAGGGGCCCAGGAGGAAGTCTGGGGTGATGGGGACCAAAGCCTGTCCGCTCAGGAGGGCAGCTGTTGGGCAGCAGTGGCCCCAGTGCGTCCCCGACGTGTCCCTCACCAGTGCATTCAGTAAGCGTGTGCTGAGCGTCTGCTGCATCCAGGGTCTGGGGAATAAGGCAGGAAACAGAACCAAGGAAAGGCTTCCCTGCCCGGAAATGGGCCCACACTAGTGAGGACGAGAAGGAATTTTCCACTATCTTGGGGGGTGTGGGGCGTGAAGAAAAAGAAAGCAGAGTTAGGAGAGAGGGGGGTGACAAGGTAGCCAGGGAAGGCCTCTCTGAGGAGGTGACGCGAGAAAAGACCTGCAGGAAGTGGAGGGAAGAGCCTTCCGGCCGGGGCAGCAGGAGGTGTGGGGACCTGCGGTGGCACTGAGCAACAGCAAGGCGGCCGGGATGGCTGGAGCAGTCAGGAGGACCAGGTCAAGCAGGACTTGGTGACCCCGGCGAGTGCAGTGAGGATGACTCACTGCCTTCGAGCAGGGTGAGTCTTCGGCCTGCAACCAGGGACCCCACTGTTGACCTTTTGGGCCAGGTGGTTCTTTGCTGTGGGCGCCCGGCCTGTGTGGGAGGGTCCTTAGCAGCACCCCGGCCTCTACCCACTAGACCCAAGGAGCAAGCCTCCAGCTGTGACGGTCAGAATGTCAAAATGCCTTGGGGGGCAAAATCACCCACTTGAGAACCACTGCCTGCCTCAGGAATGTGAGTCCGCGAGTCACCACATTTTCCGGCTCTCCAACAGAAACCAGAGTTTACATGTAAAATCTCTGACTTGGAAAATGTTGCCTTTTGTTTTAAGCCCTGACAGGCCCACCATCCCCCTATGAGGGTCAGCTGACCGCAGCAGCCAGCATATGGCCTTTGACCTCAGGGGCCCAGGCCCTTGACCTCGGCCTCCCAGGGTGCCCGAAAGACCAGCCCCTGACAGCCTTCTCCCCCTGCAGCACCGTGGATGACAACCCGGACTTCGACAACCTGGACATCGTCGCTCGGGACGAGGAGGAGAGGTACTTCGATGAGGAGGAGCCCGAGGATGCGCCCAGCCCAGAGCTGGATGGGGACTGATAGCTGCCACCCTCCGGCCGGCCACCTGCCCTGTCCCTTGTCCCAACAAGGCAGCTGATCACAGGCTGGCTCAGTGACTCTTTCTCTAGGGGGACATCCGGGCAGCACCTGCCCACGCCAGCCTCGCTGGCTCTCGTCTCATCTCAGCTAACCCCCTCACCCCTGTCTCTGGGGTTCCCTACCTTTCTCCCTCTCTCCCCACTGTCCCCTGCCTCTGTCACTCTTGCCGTCTCTCTGGGTTTCTTCTGGGTCTCTCTGTCCACATCTCACTGCCCTCCCCCCTACGCCCTCTGCTTTGGGCTTTGTGCCCACAGCAGGCCCTGCGTGGATAGACCTAGCCGGGCTGGTTCCAGCTCAGGCCGGGCAACACCTGACCCCCAGCAGCGCTGCCTCTCGCCCCTTGCTCTGTGTCTTTCTCCACCTCTGTGTCTGGCCTGCCGTCCTGTGCTCAGGGCCTCCTCGCTTCTGTATGTTCCCATCTCTCTGTTGACCTCACTCTGGGCCTGCTGTTTTCCTGCCTGTACACTTCAGCTTCTCTCTCGGCCTCTGTGCTGTCACCGTCCCTCTCTGTCTCTCAGCCTTTATCTCCCTGGGTTTCAGTGCCCCCACCCCGGCCCCACTCCACACCCTGGACTCCTTCTTCCCCCTCCCCCCAAGCCTGACTGCTGCGGAATGCGGCTTCTTGGGCAGAGGGGAGACGGGAGATGGGGTGACCACCTCTACCTCAGGACTCAGGCCCGAGTGAGCAGGGGTAGAACTGGGGATCACAGGGCCTGCCAGCTTGGGCATGGAGGGAGCGAGTGCAGGAAGGGGGGAGCTCCCCCCCCAGCTCTCCCAACCCCCCTCTGCCCAGCCACAATTTTCCCTTCCTTCACTTCCTCCGCCTCCCTCTCCCTCTCCTGTTTACACTCCCCAAATACGCACAGGCTGTTATCATGGGTCCTGAGTCATCACACACACACACATACACAGCCTGCCCCAGCGTCCCTGCCCCCAGCCAGCCACAGGGCCCGCCCCACAGAGCCCCCTGCCGCCCTAGGCTAATGGGAGCCAGATGGCCGCCTGGTGACTCAGCCACTGGCCTGTGGGAACCCAGGCGTCCCGCCTTCCCATGCCCCCACACCCAGCTCCTGCAGGAGACACACACAGACTGGCCACTGGGGGCAGGGCACAGGCCAGCGGCCAGCAAGGTGGGGCCTGGGGAACCCTCACTCTCGTGAGATGGAATGGTGGCATCCTGCCCTGGCTGAGCCTGAGGGAGCCTCAAAACTGCCTCCTGGGGCCCCGGTTCCTGACCTCGGGGCCTCAGCTCTGCCCTCCGGGTCAACCAGGATCAGAGCCAGACATGAAAGTGAGAGCCGGACAGAGGCAGAGGGATGTTCAGACGAAGCAACTATTAAATAATGAAAGCTCCGGCTGCTGAGCAGTCCTGTCCTCTGCCAGGCCCCAGTGAAGTGCCTGACACCAAGCTGAATCCTCCAAACAGCCACAGGAACTAGGGTCTCTTAGCTCCACGTCACAGATGGGTCAGAGAGGCCCAGAAAGGAGATGCTGCTCACACAAGGCCACTCGGCCATCAGAGGCAGAGCTGAGATGGGAACCCAGGTCCCAGAAACCACTCTGCTATCCGGCCTGTCAGATATCGGAGCCATGCAGAGCTGGAGGGACAGAGGCCTTCCTCAGATGGGGAGACCAGAAGAGTTAGATGTTGAGGCTGACATCTCTTTGGGGCGCTGCCCCACACACAGTAGTGACTGGATCATCTCAATGTGTACATTGGTACTTGAATCACCGACCGGCACAGCAGTCCTGGGCAGCGGGTACTGCCATGTGTGACTGTTCCATCTCCCAGGGACACAGCAACGAGGCCCAGGGTAATCCAGCCAGCTAGACTCTGGGACTGTCGGGGTCACACCGTGTGGAAAGACAAGAGCAAGAGATGAAAGATGTTCGTCTCTCATGCACTTGTGCTGGTGTTCTGAGCTTGTAAGAGCTCTTCCGTGGTAGAGCTATCAGCCCTTAGTGATGCACATTTTAGACCAGTCTATCATTTGGTCATTAAATTTGTTCATAATATGCTTTGCCATACATAAGTTTGTTATATATTTTTAAAAAAGAGATGAGAAACAGCAGTTGAGTCAGAGTTAGGGTTAGTCAGATGGTCAAGACGGGAGTGTCTGTAGCTGAGACAGAGGTGGAGCCAGTCCCAGGCCCTGGGATTAGAGGGGAGACAGGAAGAGAGGTGGAGACAGAATCGGCAGGGATGGCGAGACACACCCCTGTCAGCCTCCAGTGCCTCGTCGCAGCTGAGACCCAGAGCTGCCGGGCTTCCGTGGCAGGCGCCTCTCCCCCACTCCCAGTTCTGGGGTTGGGGTGGGCGGAGAGGCTGAGTCAGGGAGGGAGAGCCCCTTTGTGGGCATCCGGCCCCCACCCCCGTGTCTCTGTCTGTCCTGGCCCCGGCCCTGCTCTGCTGGCCGCCACCCCGCCCCCCACGTCTGACACCTCTGTGCCTCCTGCCAAAGCTAAAGCTGCCTCCCTGCACCTCTCCTCTCATCCCCAGCCTTCTCCACCTCCCTTCTCTGTCCCGGTCTGTCTGCTCTGTCTCTCCCCTGCTTCTCCCCGTTTCCTCCTTCTGCGCCTTTCTCCCGCGCCTGTCTTCTCATTCTGTCTCCCTGCCACTGTATGTCTCCCTCCCTTTGAGCCCCTCTTCTCCCCCATTTTTCCTGTGCCCCTCCTGTCTCTCACTTTCTCCCCCCACCACCTGATCCATTCGGTGTCCTGAACCATCCTCTCCATCTCGTCTTGGCCTCTGAGCTCCTGTCACTGTCGGCAGCCTGGCTTCCCGGTCCCTTTTGCTGTTGGAGCCCCCTCCTGCTCCGTCTTGGCTCTCCTTTTTCCTGTCCCTCTCCCTGCTCTGTCTCTTGTTCCACTCCCCTGACCCTGTCCCCCACTTCTGTCTCCAGACCCTGGGAAGCATAGCTGGGATGTCCAGGTCAGAGCCTCACTGGTGGCCCCTGGGAGGGGGCCGAGAATGAGGGGTTTCCACCTCACCCCTATCTAGAAAGGGGGCTGGCGGGGGTCAGCGAGGCTTCCTGGCCTGTCTGGCCTGAAGGAAACGTCTGTGCTGTGGCCTGGTCACCCCCGCCCCCAGGACCTGCTGGGCTGCTGCCGCCCCCGGGCCAGGCCGAGTAAACACAGCAAACAGCCGCCGGCAGCCGGGATATTTATACCGAGGCCGGGCGCGAGTCCAGTGCCCACCACAGCCCCTGCCCAGCCCTGCCCGCTGCCCGCTCCACAGCCAGCCCTGAGCCAGCGTGGCACCAGCCGGCAAGGGGACGCGCCGCAGACACAGCTTCTACTTGGCACAGAGGCCAGTGGGCACTGGTTGCTCGGGATGCCAGCGGTTTCACAGGACACAGATGTCCCCCTCCCCTGAAAACACCATGCCATGCAGACCCACACTCGAGAGCTGCTCCTGATCACACCCCCACCCTGCTGAGAACTCAAAATGCCCTCAAAGGTGATGCATACTGGAGACCTGAACAAGTCCTCACACACTGAAGTCTCCAGCCCACATGTGGGGACAAAAATGTGGATGCCACCTGCTCAGACACCCACACAGGCTGAGAACACACAGACATACCACGCAGAAGTACAGCCCTCTCTCTTACACACAAACGCCGTGGGAACCACAGCAAGCATCTCGAAGACACACCACGTAGACACACACGCCATCTGGGAGGGACACACACTGATCACAAAATATAACCCAGAAACAACTCACCCAGCTCATGTGTAAGAAACACACACCACGCTCCTGGAAAAACATCACTCTCCCAGGTCCATAAACGTATGCAATAAACCCCACATTTCAAGTCGAGCTTACGTTGAGAATGCAAAAATTTACACCCAGAAGAACTGTGAAGATGTTGAGAAGAAAATTCAGACACACAATATGTCCCACATAGACAACACTGACTTACCGACTCACACAGTGCCAGAACACAGAACCCACGGAAAATACGCCAGCTTGTCCGGCAGAAATACAAAACGCAGAGGCACACACCAGAAATGCAGCACAGCCACAAACACGAGGAGTTGAGCATGTTCTGGGGACACACACACACACACACACACACACACACACACGTTGACAACACCATCCCCACCAAGGCCCCCGGAACACTCGTGCTAGCTAGAACTCACGCCACAAAGCTTGCAAACTCTCACACGCACAGTAAAAGGTCCTGAACACAAAAATTCAGGTTGGAAACACAAAACACTTCGGATGCCCAGAGATTTAGGGGGCTTTCTCGGCTCCCCTCAGTCTCCCTTCCCCTCTGCCCCATTCTTCTCTTCCAAGTTAACCCCCCTCCCCCCATCTAGGGGAGGGGGCAGGAAGGCCTGAGCAGGCCTCCCCCAGCCCGCTTCCTGCCCTGAGGGGGCCATACGGGAAGCGGGGGCTCCAGCCGGAACCCACGCTCCCCCCACGACTTCCCGCCGTGGCCCGGCTGCCCGCAGAGGCGGGGGCGGGGCGGGGGCAGGGCTTGGGGCGCCCCGAACCCCCTGCCCTGGCCCTGCGGTCAGCTGCGGGTGGGGCAGACTTGTTCCGACTGGGCCGAACCGCCCGTTGGGCCGGGGTGCCAGGGTGGCAGGGCAGGGGCAGCGCGCACGCGGCCCGGGAAGGTGCTGAGCCCACAGTTTCCCCGCCCCGCCCTCGGGCCGCGCCAGCTCCGCGGGCAGCCCCGGGCAGGTGGGCGGGGTGTGTCACGAGGGCGTGGCTGGCGCGGGCAGACCGCCCCGGGAGTGTGTGGCCGCTACTTGTCCTCGGGCCCAGGCGAGGCACGAGCTGGGGCCTGGCGTGTGCGGGCCGCGTCTGCCACTGCCACCTGGGGGGTGTGTCTGCTCCGTCTGGGACCCTGGGTGTGACAGTGTGTCTGGGTGTGACAGGGTCGCTGCAGTGTGTGGGGCCCTGTGGGACTCCGCAGGCTGGAGTGTGGGAGGGGGTCTGAGATGTCAAACGGAGTGGTTACTGCCTGGCAGTCTGTGTGACTGTGACGTGTGGAACCTCTGTGTGTGGTGTGTGTGGGCAGGGCTGTGACAGGTCTGTCCGTGTGCACCCACACTGTCTATTTGTGACCTCGACCCCATGGAGGACATCTGTGTAACTGCTGGTGGGTCGGTTTCCTGATGGGGTTCCGATGCCGTGATGTGTGTTTGTGCGTGACAGGGTCTGTCTGAATCAGTGTCTGGTGTGCGGTGGCTGTGACCATGACCCTATGGAATATATTTGTATGACTGTGTTTTGACGTGTCACTGTTGAAGTCCCTGGTCGTGTTATGTCCCAGTGAAGCTCCAAGAATGGGCCGTGTTTATGTGATGGGGTGACAGTTTCTCTATTTGTATCTGTGTATATATGGGCTGTGACTCCTGCCAAATGACACAGTCCATGTGTCATGGGTCCTGCAGGAGTCTCTGTGTGTCCACTGGGCTGTGAGAGGTGAATGGGTTTGTGTAGTTGTGGGACACTGTCCACATTTCAACTTCTGTATGAGTGTGTGTGTGTGCGCGCATGTGCCGCATCCGCGTGGGGCTGCACTGGTTCCAGTCCATGTCACTGTGTCCTTGCTTGTGTCTCTACCTGTTGGGGCCTGTGAACTCATCCTGCTCCT